AGAGCTGAGTCTAAAAGCAAAGCTCTCAATATACCGGTCGATCTACGTCCCTACCCTCACTTATGGCCACGAGCTGTGGGTAGTGACCGAAAGAACGAGTTCGCGGATACAAGCGGCGGAAATGAGCTTCCTCCGAAGGGTGGCTGGCCTCTCCCTTAGAGATGTAGAGGAGGTGGTTCGGGCATCTGACAAGGATGCCTCCTGGGCGCCTCCTGGGTGAGGTGTTCCGGGCATGCCCCACGGGTAGGAGACCCCGGGGCAGACCCAGGACACGCTGGAGAGATTATGTCTCTCGGCTGGCCTGGCAATGCCTTGGTGTTCCTCCGGATAAGCTGGAGGAGGTGGCTGGGGAGAGGGAGGTCTGGGCTTCTCTGCTTGGGCTGCTGCCCCTGCGACCCGGCCCCGGATAAAGAGGAAGAAGATGGATGGATGGATGGATGGATGTTTAAGGAGTGTTACAGCAGGACAGGGGTCTTCCGGTCCTACTGGATTTAAAAACTAGTCTACATATCTGCCCAGATAGCAAGACGACATTGAATTGATGTTGATTTTTCATCCGATCCGTCGTTATGGTCAGGGTTGAAATGCCACTGTTGTAACAACATTGAAATACTGTGGTAAACCGACGCTCTTACTATAGGGACGTTGAAATGATGTTGATTTACCGTTGTTTTTTTGTCATTGATATTTGATCTATTTGTAGTCGACCAGGTGACAACAACAACGTTGAGAAAACGTCTATTTATAATTGACCATCATTCGGCGCCGGTCACCATCAAAAAGCCATCGATTTGTAGTTGAGCGTTAAATTGCATTGCAACTGAGCGGGTATAAAGTACGGGAGAAAGTAGATTTATTGTTTTTTTTGTTATCAGTGACCTTGGTCTAGTTCATCAGCTTTAAAAAAATCGTTTCGACGTGCAATTTAGTTGACCGGGAAATTAAAGCAGCAATCACTTGGACTATTCCACAGCACCCTTCTCACAGTGGTACATCCCTCCAGGTAACCATTGTCTTGTACAGTTGAGCAGGACATTAGATTTACTCTCAGCAGAGTTGACCGGAGAAAGCATCAGTTCATGCACTGCACTGGCCTGCACCACGATTAGTATAAGGTAAGAATGAATGAATTTTCTTCTATTCGTTATTTCCACTGTTGCATTTGAATAACAGTAAAAAAAACTTGTTAATGTACAGTTTCGGACAAAATGGGAGCCCGAAATTGTGTCTACTTTCATCTTACAATCCGGCAACAAATAAAACAACAAATAAATTGCACTGCGAACAAAGTCTATCAACAAAGAAAACATTTTCGTTTTATACTTTTCCGTTATATTCCCTTACAAAGCTAGCCTAACACTTTGAGGGTTCCTTTGTTCTTGCCGTCGCCTCGTCGCTTGACCCAGACTTTCGCTCTGTAGTTGCTTTTTAGCATAGTACTACAAAAAATTGTAAATCTGTGATATATGATTGATAAACGTAAAGGTAACTGTATAAATGTGTTCAATGACTTTGTTACTTTTAATGATTGGAGAGCACCCGCTTCAATTCGCACTCAATTCAAACTTTACGTTGCACGCTCACCTAACTTTACGTTGCACGCTCACCTACCTTTACGTTGCACACTCACCTACCTTTACGTTGCACACTCACCTACCTTGCATTTGCACCTTTTGTCCACACGTAAACTGCGTTTTCGTTAACTGAAAACTGAGATTTTTAAAGACGCCTGCCAGGGTGGATATTTTCGAAAACTCAGTTTTAGCATTTACGTGTGGACGAGGAAAACGGAGTTGCCTATATACAACAACAACAACAACAACAATCTTTATTTATAGAGCACATTTAAAAACCAACGGCATGCCAAAGCTATAAGCTATTATTATAAGCTTTAAGCTATTATTTATTATTTAGTTCAGTCAATAGATCAAGTTTTGATGTGATTTTGATGTAGTGACTATGAAATATATTGTAATTATCTGTTTCCTGTTTATCCTAGACAGGGCAAAAAAACCCTCCAAATTGAAAAAAAAGGTAAAAATGAAAGAGGTGCATTGTGCAGTTCAGCACTGGTGGTACAGAAATAGTCCCTAGTACATGGATAAATGGGGAGAAATTGTCATGGCCTCCATATCCTCCGCGAGACACATTCAGGATCCATGCCGCAGTAAAGAGGAGAGTTCATCCTGGTGCAACATGGCTCACCTATGCACCAGTCCGGCTTCTCATAAGCCATGGTGGGTATCATCTGGATTGGTGTTGTATAAATGTAACAATAACAAGTTTTTGGTGTCCTAATTTATGTCTGGCCATACATTGTGTTTGTACTTCCAGACACATTTCACGAAGCAGAACGCAGTCTCCAGAGATATCTACGTGAACACTGTGATACGTCTGACCTTCAGTCCGAAGCAGAAACACAGACCAGTCATAAAAGAATGGTAAAAGGAGCCGTCCTCAAAAAAGAAAAATTCCACCTGCTACTGTGGAGGAGTTGTCACTGCTATTGGATACTTTGCTGGAACACAGTAAAGCTGTGGGTTGCGGGATGACCCATAATGTTTTATCTAGGGGTCTAGATTTATGCCTGTAGTGCACTGCCATGTAAATAATTTGCATTTACTGAATATGTACTGACTGAGTACCACTGTTCAAAAGTTGAATAAAGAAACTAACTAATTTTGCCTCTTTTTTTTTTTTTAAATTAAAACCACTTTGTAGAACATCACATCAGTTACAGTGTAGAATCCAAGTCATTTATAGTTTACAAATGACAAAATGTTTACACAAAATCATGACGGTGTTTACATGATATCACCCATTTCTAACATTACTTTATTTACTGTATCTTTTGAAAAAATACCGCTATTTATACAGCACAAGACTTAAGAATATTTAACAGGAGCAGGTTTCATTTTGCCCTGGTTTTACTACCACACTGTTCACCAAACGCAGCAAACCTTCACCATCTTATCCAGAAGGGTCACCTCTTCACCCTCACATGGAAGAAGTAATCTGATTGGCATGGTGGTATGTTTGAAGCAGGTCCCTTGTGTAGCGCTGGGACCCAGTCACGATGTGTTTCATCCATTTTATTGGCTGGTTTTCCTGCAATAATGCCAATATCTATCCTTTCCAAAATCCTTTCCAAGCCCACCCCCGTGACATCACGTTTCACACACGGTTGCTGTACATATACAGCCAGTGTTAAAGCTCACAGCCCGACACACACCAACACAACAGCATAGATAGCACAGACGTCAAGGCGGCGAGGCGTGATTTAAAAAAAAAATTTAATTATATGCAACATTCTCTGACTTGAATAAATTAGTTTAACATTTAAACCTATTTTCTACACATTCCAGCACATAAAATAAAATAAAATATTTTTTGTGTTTACACTCATTCTTTCAAATAGATGCAAGTAAAACACAGCAGAAAATAAATAAAGTCAAAGACTCAGCGGTCCTGTTGCTCTATTTTCACCTGTAAAGCAGGACTGCGGTAGGCGGAGGTTTACCCTGGTGCAGGTGTGCCGTGGTCAGTTGAAGAATCCGCGAGTTTCTCTGTGAATTTCCCATTATGTCATTGCGCACTCGGTGCTTGCTTGGAAGTTTAGGGGGTTTTTTTTCGCTGTAAAAAGAAGTTGTCATGGTCCTGGGTCGTTGACCCAGCGTTTTGTGTTTTGTGACTATTTCCCTCTGTTCTAGTTATTCTGTGTCCTCCCCCCTTGTGTCCGGTTCAGGTTCTAGATTTCCTGTTTTACTTTGTAGGTCTGTGTCTCGTTATGCCCATTAAGTTCCAGCTGTGTCCCCTCCTGTGTGCCATTTCCTCATTACCTGGTGTGTGTATTTATAGTTGGTGTCTGCCTGTGCTCCTCGTCGGCTCGTCTGCGTTCATCCATGTATCACTGCGTTCCTCCGTGTAGCTCTGCATTCTATGGTGTTTCGTTCCTGTCTCTGCGTCTCTCTGCCCCGCACCCCTTTTGTATGGTCTCAGGTTTGTCTTTAGTTTCTCCCAGTTTAGGTTTGTAATTGCTCATGTTGAGTTGCCTGTTTTTGCCACCACCACCACCTTGTAAATAAACATCACTCTGTCATCAGTTCGCTGCATCTTGGGTCCTCCTTTTCCTCCACACCACACGGCTCCCTCTGCCAGCCGTGACAGAAGTTTTCTTCCCACGCACGATGGACGCTAATGTTTTTGTCACTTTTTATGGAATCAAACTCAAAGTAAGGTCAGTGCTTCCACGCTTTAAACGCTGCACGCTCATACTCTCTCCCACAATCGATATATGATCCACTGTTGATCTGCACACAGCTGTTGTCTCTAACAGCGCACTCGTTTACGTCACTGTCGTGAGACATTCTCGCAAAAAATCATGGTTTTAGTAACACAGTAACGCAGCGTTCCTACGGGAAAGTAACTGTAATCTAATTACCGTTTTTGCAATAGTAATCCCTACAAGTAACGCGTTACTGCCCATCTCTGCTGATATCACTCGAGCCCATCTGGTTCCAATTCTCAGAGAAAGTTTATAAAGCAGAAGAATTTAGATCAGTAAGAAATATTAAGGCAAGAAACGACACAAGCGCAAATACCATGCCTTCCTGTATGAGTCTCTCAACCCATACTGGACTTATTGGGCATTCCATTAAGGCTGAATACAACAGGTTGCCTAATTTATTCAGGTAATATCGGCCAGTCTGGATCAAACTGTTGAGGAGAATCTTCTTTGTTCTGGCATATGGCACATACAATTTATAAAATGTGACAAGAGAATGGCAGTGTCATTAAAATAATTTCAAAAGCAAATTACCCTGAGGAGTTGAGCCGACAACAATAGGAGACGCACAGAGAGCAAAGGGAAAAGAGAGAGAGAGAGGAATGGAGCTGTACGAGGACTTGCTACTCCCTTCCTCTTTCTCTCTTCTCTTTCCCACACACACTTACACACTCGTTACGCACACAAATGCACACACTTCACGAGCAAGACTGTGGTTCGCTCTGGGAGCAGAGCAGTGTAACGAGGGCAGTCATCACAGACAAGGAGAAGAAGCGCTGAGGTGAGTGATAGTTTCCTAATTTATACTTGCTGTTTAATATGTCTTCAAATTTAAACGAGCAACGTGTGAAAACACGGCGAATGCTGTAGCCAGGCAGCATAATCAAGTTTGAGTTAATATTTGATCTGCACTGTGTTATTTGAGTGCTTTTCAGCAGCCAAGCAAGAATGCTAATTAATAGAAATAAAAAAGTTAAATTCATTTAAGATTGGTCAAATAGGTGATGAAACTGTATTTAATTGACAGCACAGTCAGTGCAAATTCAATTTAAGTCTCTTTTTATGGTCTGATATCAGATTTTCTTTATAGTTTATTGCATTTAAATGCAAAGATGAGGAGAAAAAAAAGTATAGAAGCAGTACGTATGTGGGCAGTGACGTGGTCATGAATAGAAACTGTCAGATGTCAGAGGTTTGCAACTGTGTAGAATTCAGCTGGGCCACTTCTGAGCCTGATGTGAACATGTGAACTAGGCACAAAGACAAATATACAAAGAGGTCATGTAATCAGTTCTGAATATGAGGAAGTGAGATTATTCTTTGTGTGATAATTTCTCTTTTACACTTTGAAGGTCTGTGACATAACAAGACATAACAAATATGTCTGCGTTACATATTAGCATGTACTTGTTAGCATGTACATTACTATGCATTGTCCTATTGTCCTATTATCCATAAAGTCTTCCTGGAGTTGCTGATAAACAAAATATAATGATTTTATCCCTTAAACTGTAGGAGTATTGGGAAATAAAATCTGATAAAAATCAAAATAATTAAATTCCTGATTCTATTTTTTCAAATTAGTGATTTCCAGAAGGTTACATTTGGTATTTATAGGCATTTAATATTGGCTATATCTAATAATATTATTTTGTTGTAAATCACTTTGTATATAAGAGATTACTGAGGCAATCTGGCTTTTAACTGTTGCACTGGTTTCATTGATTTTTATGGAGTTAAGGAAGGACTAGCTATGCTCTTTCAGCCATTGTGCAGTCACGTCTAATGATACCCACTTTGTTTTAAAACACCATTGCTGTTTCTCTGAGAGACATGCAATATCATACATTTAAAGCAAGATATACAAACTCTGACTTAAGCTGGCCTATATAAAATTAAAGTGTGCAGTTATTCAAATAAAGGTCGCCACATACACAGCTCAAACTGGATGTTACACCTAAGTGAGCAAAGAACGAGAAACGGTTACAAGAATAGCAAGAGGATGTGGTTTAGTGTCATGACATGGTCACTGCATCTTATTTGCAGTTCAGCAGTTCAGAAGTTCCCTTTCAAATGTGCTGCTGGTAACTGTATGAACTGTATCAGCTGTATCCCAGCTGATACAGTTGTGTGCAGATTTGGTCTTTTTTTTTTTTTTTTTTTAAGTCTGTGTGTGTCTAACCCACATTACACAACATTATTTCTGTAAAGGACTCTATATGGCTGCAATGATAACATGACAGATGTGATCTGGCAAGGTCAAGCATGACATATTGAGTTCAATCAATCACCCCCATGTGACCCAAACTTTCATTTGTGTGTTTGTGTGTGTGTGTGTGTGTGCGTGTGTAGGTGTGTGTGTGTGTGTGTGTGTGTGTGTACGTGCGTGTACCACAGCAAAGCATGCTGTTAGTGTCTATGCATATTTTATGTGTCTGATCCCCCTGTCTGTCTGCAGTCGTGTCTGTCGCAGTGTGTTTCATTTCCATGCTTCATCAGGATTCCACAGCTTTCCTTCACTGGTTAGAATACACAACAGCTAGCCTACCAAGCACCCAAGACCAAAGGACAGAAACAAAGGCAAGCAGGAAGACAAATGCGAACACATACACACAGACAAACATGCACGCACATTCACAACAAAGCAGACAGCCACAGATTGCTTTGCAAAAACAGAGGAAGTCAGTGAGCCAAGTACTTGATACCCAATTAAACTGTATTAAGACGAATTAAAGATTTGTATTCCTGATTGTATTATGTTTCTCTAATGGACAATATATGCACATGATCCACGAGTTACTTTCAACATCAGTAGTCCTCTTTAGCACTAGACAAATGTTTATTGATCTGATGATAGTTGAAAAAAAATTACGTTTTCAGAATCGCACCAGCTGCCGTACAGTCTAATCTTCTTTTTGCCGTTGAATAATTTAACCACTTAGCTGCTGTCCAATCATAATCAAATAAATATGGTACTCAAAAATGCATGAATTCATAGCAAAACAAGAGATTTGATTCAGCGCACAATCTCAGGCCATTGCCACACTTCCTGAAACATAAATGAATGTATAGCTGAGTTATTCCTTGGATCCATGACTAGTCGGTAGCAACCAGTCTGAAAAGGCAATTTCACCCCTTGCAATTCAGCAGGGGGTGAAATTACCTTTTGGAGTCAGTTGAGAGGGTAGATTAATCTAAACGTATTCAAAAGACATTACATTGCATTTATCACAATAGATGTGATTACTTTGATTACCTATTGGGATGATGAGGAGCATCCATTTATTATTAGTTTATTTCTAAAAAGACGCATCTGGCGAACAAAAAAAAAAAAGAGGTCAGAGGATGAACACTTGGTATTTGGAGAATATCACAATTTAGGCAGAGAGTCCCAGCTGAGAGATAAATAACTCCATTACTCATCCCAGAGCTTAGACCATGTCTGGTAAAGAGCCACTGTTCTAAGTACTTTTCTGCCTGCCTTTCATCCTTATACCCAAATTGGACTCTTTTCACAAGCTTGCTGAGTAAAGAAAGATCTGGGTGAGACAGGATGAAGCCTCTTCAGCTCATTTATATCTCCCTACATTGAGAAGACAAAGACAGGAAAATATTGCTGCAATTAACAGTTAATCACTTTATATTTCATCTCTCTTAAGTCCTCAAAATACTGGACGTCACCTTATTAAACACAGGATGAACTCTTAAAGTGCTGTTTTCATATCCACAAACCCATGCGACCCTTTTCCTCAACACCTGAAAACATTTTTTTTAAACTGTTGTTTTGCAAGAAACTTCTGAGGATAGTGCAGCCTTTTATATCCCGTGGAAAACAAAATACTCAGCAGTCATTACAATCCATTACGGTCCTCAAAATCCATTACCAAGACATATGTTTTGGGTCATGTTAGTGTGTCAGTGCAGACCTACATGTGCATGCATGAATGTGTGTTATTATATACTGCATACAGCTGCAGTAGCACTCACCATTGCTTTCCATTAGGGACAACTAATGAGTGGTTTGTGAAAGAAAACAGATGGTCAGTAATAAAGTGTCTAAATGAGGGATTTTTTTTTAAATCTTTTTTTTTCTTTCATTTTTACACATCATCACATTCTGTTTCCCAGCATTAAGGTGAATGACACTGACTGACTTTATTTTTTACTATCTACACAGACTATTGGTGACTTTATACTGATGAAAGACAAATGTACGTGGGTCTTTTGCATCTTGTGCTAAATAAATTATGTGTTTACTATAAGTGACTGGTCAAGGCTGTATAAAAATATAATTTTTAAAATTAAAACAAATGTTTATGCAAAGATAAACACAGGAAGCAAGCATAGTTAAGTTCTCACACATGCACTGTGACATGGGAAGTTGAACTAATGCACTGAGCTCAGAGCAAGTAAGAAAAGCACACGCATACATAGCGTATATATACATTTTCTGTATGGTATGCCCAAGATTGTGATAAAGTTGCCCTTGTTTTAAAAAAATGACTGTAAGGCCTGTAAGGCCTGTTTTGAAAGCAAGCCAAATCTATTTCTAGCTCTCTGCAAGAAAATGTGGCCTGGAGTTGCCTACCCCTGCTCTGGATGTAGCTCAGTGCTGAGTAAGTCATAGAAATGTGCAGATTAGAAGAGTTCAAAGATTACAGATTTGGTGCTGGTTTCTGTGAAACCAGATTTAATTAAAACATTTCTTTCTTCCTGTCTTGATTTGAAGCCATCGGCCCAGAGTCTCAGCATCTTTATCTAACATGATAAGCAAGTGGCACTGAACCAAGTCTGGCAAATCTCCCATTATCCATTACAGTGTTAGAAAACAGAGAGGCAAACATTACCCACCACCTATTGACGCAACCACATTTAATAGACACACATTGCCCACACACAATCTCTCTTACCTATCTAGTAGTGGTTTTCCACATTCCACCAGGCACACATTAAAAGCGTAAGCCGACATCTCATTAGTGTTCTCAGAGTACAAATACCGCTCTGTAAATCTGTAAACAAGGTCTATGTAGAAAACAAAGCATTAACGTCTGGATGTAAAGCTTTGAATAATTTGTCATTCAAGGTTGTTATTTATTAATGGAAAACTACATACAGTACTGTGCAAAAGTCTTAAGCCCCCCCGCCCCCCTTCATTTCTTTCTAATTTGCTTCCAAGGAGACAGATTTTCTTGTAATTTTGGATAAGTGGTCTTGAACAGTTGTTTTCCAAGCTTTCTGAAGGTCATTCGAAATTTCTTCTTTGACAATTAGTTGTTGATTCACTCATCTCAGTCCAGTCCCTGTCCATTTTCAGAGGAAAGCTTTTATGTTGTTTTGTTTATTTGACCCCTTAACACTGACCGATGAATTATTTAAGCATAAAAAGACACCTAACTCAAGGGATGAACCAACGTTGGGTCTATTCATTACAGACTACTTAGCAATGAGGAGAACCAATTTTAAACTAAATTGTATCTTTAGGTATTTTGTTATTAGCAGCCTGGTACAAAAGCACATCATTTTTTCAGTGTTCTTTAGATTAATCTATGACGAAAGGCAAGTTTGACCCCCCAAAATAGTATTTTTACGTCATTCCCGAAGATGTGTTAGCTGGTGGTATATCGCTGCATGGTGTGCAGTGTGACCTTTAAAAACTGGAGAAAACGTGAGATGTGGAGAACAAAACAAGAATGGCTTTAAAACTACCTTAGCAGATGAACAGTATGTGAAGTCATGTCTTTTTTTAAAAAAAATGCAGAAAATACTGCAAAAGACCTGATACAGAATCTGTGAGATGCATCTTGTCCTTCAGTTGATTCATCTACTGTTTGCTGAATCCTCATCAGAATGGGCACTGTGAAGATGCCATTCTATTTCTTGATATATATTTTTAAAATGTTTTTATTTTTATTGTTATTGTGATAGGACAGCGGGGCAAATGTCACGATCCTGGTTCTTATGACTCTGTGTTTTGAGTTTTAGTTTATTTTGATGTTTATGGTATATGGTTAAGTTCGTTATTTTTTCTTTTCATTTGTTATTAGTTTCCTCTTGTGTCTTCCAACCCCTGTTAAGTCTCCCTTGCCCTTCATGTGTTTCATGTCTGTGTCTTATGTTGTCAAGTTCAGGTTGTCATGTCTGCGTCTCATTATGTTTCCTGTTTTATTTTGAAGGGGTCCTGTGTTCCTATGTTCAATGTTTTTAGTTTTACTCTCCCCTTGTGACGTCATTATGTTCATGTGTGTCAGCTGTTTCCCCATGTGTTTCCGTTTCCCTCATTATCCTCCTGTGTGTATTTAGTCCGTGTGTCTTCAGTCATTCCTTGTCAGGTCGTCTGTTGTTCACGCCATGTTCTTTACGCCAGGTTTCATGTCCAGGTTTTTTCATATTGTGGTTTAGATTCCCCAGTTTAGGTTTGTGTTAATTTTGCTTCAGTTTGCCTTGCCTTTTGTTTGTACCTTTTACCAGCCTCATTAAATGGCTCGCCTTTTGTTAACATTCAAGTTTTGTTCCCTGTTCCTTGGAGTCTGCATTTTGGGTCCTTCTCATCAATTCATACAGTCTGCCCTCGCCAGACTGTGACAGGCAAAGACAGGAAAGCTGGGAATAAGATGAAGATAGGACACAGTGAATAACCTTTGGGCACATTTAAATCAGGACACTGCATTAGACTTGCATATGTGGGTCACATGCTAGTAAGGCCAATAAGCTTCCAGTGGCCATGAGGAAACGGGAAAGGAAACAGGTAGAAATGTGTGACACTGAGGAAAAATGTACTGAAAATCAGTCGCTGCAGGTCTTACAAATTGTTGTTATCTGAAAAATGTCTAATTAGCAGCAGCTTCATGTTTCAGCATGATAATGATCCCCTCCATGCTACCAATGCAATAAAAGGATACCTTGATAGAAAAACACATAATGGAATACTGACCTGCCCAACCTGGACCTCAAATCAAAGCAGTGTGGGATCATCTTGCCAGAAAATGGAACAAAAGGCAGGAAACATCCAAAGAAGAGAATATGAATGTCAACCAAGAAGCCTGGAGACCTATTCCTGAAGACTACTTGAAGAAATTACAAGAGAGTTCAGGCTGTGCTGAAGAATAACCACTCTCTTTTTGAATTATACTTGTCACCGTATGCAGTACTTATACCATATTTCTATTCAAGTTTGCATGTTTCAATAAATCAGTGCACTCATCACCCATTTTCCCAGCAAAATATAGAGAAATGATGGGTGGTTTAAGACTTTTGCACTGTGCTGTGTATTACCATTGTGGCACAAAGTCACTTTAGAAAGTATTCAGGTCCCTCCCATATGGAAAAGATATATATAAATCTTATAAAGTTTGTATCTGTCTTGTGTGAAACTTGTATGAAAAGCATATAAGTGTGAAAACAGATATAAATTATATAATGAAACTTGTATGTTTTGGATACTTACTAAAACAATATATGAAAGTAATGCGAAAGTGGCCACTTTCATGAGTAATCACATATAAGTTTTTACTATTTCTTTTCCGTATGGGCTGCCATGTTTGTTTTAGAAGGCTGGCGTAACCACAGCATTCGAAAAAGAAGTTCCACTTCCTCTGTGATAGAAACACTGAACCTTCCTGATGTTCCTGCAGTAGCGAACAACCTGTCCTGTAGAGAAATAAATCACATCTTTAGCAACAGCCTTTTACCTTTTGTCACCATCTATAGACTCAGACTCAGGTTGAGATAGACTGTAAAAGATATAACTTAGAGGGAAAGCCAATGCAGAAGTGCATTAAACTTTGATTCTTCTAATCATCCAGGTGAGAATACAACTAGTACAGGAAGCTAGACCTCAGCAAAGCCTGTGCATTATCACACAGTGCCGAGACATTTACCTGGTGTTGCATCATATTCACAATAAATGTTTGAGCCCTGGATCTGGTTTTCCCAGTGCCTTTCAGAGTAGAGTTCTAACCTGTGAGTGGATCTTTCCTCCAAAAGTTAACAAACTCCTCCAACAGGTGTCCAAGGGCTATTTGACCCAAGCAGGGAAAAATATCCATAGCTGGCAAGTTTTGGTATTTCAGGTAATCCTAAAACTCCCTGACAGCCATTTCTATAAGCCAATAATTTCCCAAACTTTTCCTTTTCCTTTCTGAATATGAACCTCGTTCCTTGTTCTGCTCACAAGACAGTGAAAGACTTCACTTCTATCCATTTTTAATTAAAAAAAGATTTTTTTTTCAAGGTTTTCTGCTTTAAAATTTAGTTTGATTTAGTAATAACAGTTTTCAGAAGTGCTCCTAAACCCTTGCGGTGATTTCCACCTCAATATTGTGTATTATGGATGAAGTGGCACCTGAAGGCCTGAACATCACGGCTATTTAGTCATGGTCTTTGCCACTAGCATTCAGAGATTGCTCAATTTTTTCTCTCTCTCTCTCTTTTTTTTTTTTTTTTTTTTTAAAATTCCTCCCTCGAAGGAAGGGAGCATATTATTGGTTCTGTTGGTTTGTCTGTCTGTCTGTTGTTGGCAGTCTATTGACCACAGTTTTCAAGATATAATTTTCAAATTTTGTGTGCTGGTGGATTTAAATGACATCTCGAGCTGATTTAATTTTGATAAAATTTGAATCAAGTTGGTCATGGGCACAGCAAATGTGAAAACCAGTGAAAACTTCATATTAGCAAAAAATAAATAAATAAATAAAATATCTATGGATTGTCTTCAAATTTCACAGGAATATACTAGGAGAAATGAGTACCTAGGTTGGCTAAGCATTTTACCTTGACCATCATTTTTAGCACCCGAGGTCAATGTTGTCCTTGAAAAAACATTTGAGAAAACATATTGAGTAACATATCATATAAAAGGGCAAAAAGAGAGTTGTACAACAAACTTTTTATTTTTCACTATGATGCCTATCACGACACAATGATGCCATAACAGACTGATGTCATCATATTGTAATAAAAACATAAAACTTTAGCAATTGCCCTTCGTGGAGGAGTTGTACTTTCTGAGTGCTCTTGTTGTTATTATTATATATTATGTTAATAATATCTTGCTATTGATAGAAAATTTGCTCACATATTGTTTTACAGAATCTTTTACACACTCTAGTTCTCTTTTTATATCCAGTCATATCAACAATTAGGCTGTGTATGAGACGCCCTTGATTTAAATATTTACCGATAACTGAAAGATATTTTTCAGATTGACTGTTTGTTTGAAAACAGGTTTGTAAAATGGAAGCATAAAAGAATACAGAGTGGCATACATGTAAAATATGATGATGCATGTAATGAATTAATTATGTGCAAGCTCACAATGAAATAATTAGCATCATGCATTATACATTTAAAACATTAGGTGTAAGACATGCATGCAACCATCTAAAGCTGCACAAAAGTGAAGCCATTGCTGGTGCTGTAGCATATGTAGCACTAATTTCAACCTTAAACAACATTTCAACAGGTTAATATGTGTCATTTTAAAGACACACTACTGAAGTTTTCAAAGAAGAAACAACAAACTCTCTGGCAAACAAAATCTGAATTTACAAGCAATTAAATGCTCCTTCACATGACCTCCTCAGTTCAAACAGGACAGGATCTTATCAGTGTAACCCAGTTTGTCCTAATATGACATCTACCATTTGTTTGACTAGCTGCCTTTGCTTTAATATTGCAGGCATTAAAGGGTTATTACAGTAGTAGTATATTAGCAGTTACATAACATAAATTACAGTTACAACCAATTTATAAGAAAGCCGCATCTTTTTGACGTGTGAGTGTAGAAGTGTGTCTGTGACTGTACGGCATAATGGCTTATTAATTGTACTTTTTGTCTTTTCCCACTAGGTGTCACTATATCCATATGAAATGGTGCTGAAGACAGAAAGATGAACCATGAACCACTGTTAATCAGCCTTGCAGACATAAAGCCGTTCAACAACCAACCAACAGCCAGTCGGATTTTTTTTTTTTTTACTGTCATTAGTATGTATGGAAAATCTGTTCTTATCAGTCCATATGATACTTTTTAGGTTTTTCAACAACAGGAAACAATCAGTTACTACCTACATTGGAAATACAGGGAGAGCTGGAGATAAAAGAATTACATGTGGGTGGCCAAGATTTTAAGTGGCACTTAATCAATGAGAGTCCTTGAAGCAACCATCCTTCATCTGATTAAAATCTGACACAAAAACAGGACAATGGTTCACATAAAGCAGCGGTCATGATGTCGTCTGATTGACTCCAGTGAAGTAACAGCAATAATGTTGTCCAAAGTAATGCTGGCCTTCATCTTGATCCTTCTCATCCTCCTGACTGTCGCTGGTAATGTACTTGTGTGCCTGGCTGTCTGTGCCTCTCGACGTCTCCGCTGCCTCACTAACTGTTTCATTTTGTCGCTGGCTGTGACAGACCTGCTGCTCGGCCTCTTAGTCCTCCCTTTCTCTGCTCTCCTACAGCTAAATGAAGAGTGGCCACTTGGCGCAGTCTTCTGCAACTTCTATATCTCCATGGATGTTATGTTGTGCACTGCCTCCATCCTCACCCTTCTGGCAATCAGTGTCGATCGCTACCTGGCAGTGACCATGCCTCTGAGATATGCATCACTGGTGTTACCGTGGAGAGTTGCTGTAGCCATGGCGAGTGTCTGGACTGTGTCTCTGGCCGTGTCTTTCTTGCCCATCCAAATGGGATGGAACACCGTTAACGGGACAGTGCAGAACCACGGGCCTTGGGCTTCGGAGGGGAAATGTCGTTTTGAACTGAACAGACCGTATGTGCTTACTGACTCTCTCCTCACCTTCTACCTGCCTCTGGTGGCTATGTGCTGGACCTACCTCAGAATACTTCGCATTGCACGTGCACAGGCCAAGCGCATTGTCAGTGAACGGCCCACTTGCATCACCAGCTACAACTGCAGGAGCAATTCTTCCACTACCACCACTGTGATTTCCAGCATTACAGTTGTGGCACTGCGGGAGCACAAAGCCACAGTGACACTGGCAGCAGTGATTGGGGCTTTTGTGGTGTGCTGGTTACCTTATTTCATCCTATTCACAGTGCTGGGCTTACAGGAGCATCCAGACCCTGGCACAGTGCCAGAATATTCCATTGTGCTGTGGCTAGGCTATGCCAACTCAGCCCTAAATCCAATCCTCTACGGAGCCCTCAACAGGGACTTCAGGTCAGCCTATACCCATCTACTGAGATGCCGATGCCCTATGTACAGCAGGTGGAGGAGCCAGCAGATATCCCCTTCTGTATCAGCAGGTAAAGCTGTTCAAAGTAAGTAAAAGTAACATTTGTACTTTTATAGCTGTTTTCCAGATTAATATCACAAACTACTACAAGATACTAAAAGCACTTGTAAAAGTGGAAAGTGAATCTAGTGTTTCTATTAGCCCATGCATAAATTTATCAGGGGCACAAACAAAGATTTCAATTTTCTCCTCATTATGTTAGAGAAAAAGTTGGCCGTCAGCCATCCAACACCTGTACAAGATCTGTAATGTAGAAACATATGGGGCTTAAAAAGAATATACAGCTTAATGACATCTGTGCAGCAGTGGTAAGAAATATCCTTAAAAATGCATGCATCACCATGTTCTGAAGAGGGAACTGATATAACAGAAATGGTAAAGGCCCCCAAAATCAAACCTTGTGGCACACCATGGATAGAGAACTGGAAGAAGACCAAAGGATCATCCAAACAGATATGAAAAGAACCACTACAAAGTAGAACCTGATACACCCACCCAGTATCCCAGTCTATAGAGCATAATGTGAGGTTCAGCAGTATCAAAGGAAGAGGTTAGGCTCAGTGGGTGAGCAAAGAACAACAATTTTGAGATTGGTCTTAAAAGTGCTAAGAAGAGAAAGATTAAGCTTTAAAAAAATATTTTTTTTTAAAAAAAATATGTGACTAAATAAGCAGGGACTTGATCGGCCATCACTGAAGTTCGATTACAGTAGGCACATAGGAACCAATACTAGTAAATGAAACATTTTTGAGTTGCAGGTAAAATATCAAGAGAACAGGAGGATGATGTCAATAACTCAATTAATTTCAACAGATAAAGAAAAGAAATAGGTAAAAATCTTCAAATAACAGGCTCAGCTGGGGCAGGAACAGACAGTGAAGATGCTGAATTATTATTATTTCTCACATTTCTGTTTTTTTTTTTTTTTTTTCCTGCAGAGAAAGTATGAACATTTTCATAATTGATTTTTGAAATATTTGTGACAGCAGGTGGAGCAGGAGTAACAATATCACAATGTCAAATAAAACCCTAGGACTACCTTTGGTCTTTGAAACTAGGTTTGAAAAGCAAGCAGCCATTGTATTTCTTCTGAAGTTTTAAAACAAACTAAAAGATTATTTAAATGAAAGCAATGAATGGGTAAACAAGTTCAACTTTTTGACGAGAACACCTTAAACCATAAATAAATTATGCAAGGAGAAGAGTACGTCCTCATTTTTAACAGGACATACTTTATCTAAACTGATAAGACAATGACTAATATAACATATATTAAAGGATTAACATTGTTATTAGGGGATAAGAATAAATTGAAAGCATAAAAAAATATCAGCAGAAAAACAATTTGAAATTTGAGACCTGAGTGGGGAGAAAGGCACAAATACTTTTTAAAAAGAATACAGTGATGATCAGAAATAAAAATGTTCCTAAAACAAATCCAAACAACATTTAAACTCAAAGTACAAACAAGCTCCAGTCTGTGTCCTCTGGTATGCGTGGGGCCATAAGCATGCTGGTAACTCGTGATGCTGATAAAAGCTCTGGCAAAGACGTCAGAGTTGTCATTAATTTGTATGTTAAAATCCCCAGTTGTAACCAATCTGGAAAACTTCATGGAGCATGGTATACCACAGCACAATAAAAAGGACCCTTCTTCATGACTTTAATCAGCTGCTTCAAAAAATATCCAACATTCTCTGAACAACATTAGAACCATTTTCAGACTGCAGCGAGACCTCCTCCTCATTCGCTGTTGGCTAATGAGGGTGTAATCACCCGGGCAAACTCTGATGAGGGACAAATATTTGAGTCACACTGCCAGGTTTAAGTAAGGAATAAAACAATCAGTTTCTTGGAGAGTACAAAATCAATAAAGCTGAGTTGGCTGGCATGGTGGTGAAAAGGTTAGCACTTACAGCAAGAAGGTTTCTGGTGTCTGGTTTCCGTGTGGACTTTGCATCTTCCCTTTACCTGAGTGCGTTTCCTTCAGGTATTTCAACTTAACCACAGTTCAAATACATGCATTTTAGGTTAATTTGTTTTTCTAATTTGGCCATGACAAAAATGGCCACGGATGTGAGGTAGATAATGTGTTTAAAGCAACAGAATAAAACCTTGTATGAATATATGGTTAAATGTGGCTTGTAGCCTAAAGTCAGTAAGACTACAAATGCACCAGTCCAGTTTTTGGTTTCTGACTGTTTTGTATAAGACAGCAAACATTATAGTGTCAATACATTTTACAGTATATCCTTATCCCCAGTTTCCATCTTACCTTGAATTTCCTCAGCCAGAGACCAGCTTACAGAGGTAACGCTGCTGTGCGGCCACACCCCTGCCACCTGCAGAGCAGGTCTAACACATCAAAACGTCATGCTTCAAGAAATGAACAGCAGGACAGCCACAACATCTATCCAATTTGCAAATGGCACTGCTACCACAGATGTCAGTGGTGATGGAAGGTAAATTATTATTCAGGCTATTGTTACATTATGCTTCATAAACATGAATACAGAATGCTGCAGATGAGTTTGTGTCAGCACTGGTGTTATTGCCTGCACAGTCATGACTCAAACCTCATCATATATAAATTGAGTACTTAAAAAAAAAAATCATGCTTTGCATCCAGACTGGAGTGACAATGCTGCAGCACCAACATTCAGATGAATGTGATGCTATGAAAAAAGCTCTATATGATACCCTGCTTTCAGTATGTCATTGCACTAAATCATATAATGTGTTTCTGTCATACTCTGAAAAATAAAATCTTCTCACTCACACAAATGCACATATATGTCTTTCTTCATTCTTTTCAGTGAACCCAGGTTGTGCTGAGCTTGTGCTTGTGAGGTGGATGGTGTGCTTACAAAACAACCCAGAACAGGAATCCATCAGGTCGATGACAAAAGGGCAACAAACAGACAAAAGATAGACAAAGATGTACAACCCCCTCTATTTGGAAGCATCCAGTATCACAGTAGAAACATCCATAGTACATCATGTAAGTAGAAATACATTCTGACATCCCTATAGCCCCCACAAACCAGTCCAGCTGAGAGCAAACGAGCTGTAATACACACATCTTAGCTGTGTCATCCGCAGCATATCGGGCCATATTGCCATATGCTTATTAGGCTGAGAAATTTGCTTCCAGAATAAAGGAGTTACATTATCCAGTTTCACATCCTGTTATCATTTCTTTCTATGCATTTTGTGACTATCATTGACTTAATTGTTCATTTTATGTGCATGAGCTCAAAGTCTGACTCAGTTACAACAACAAAGGACAAAATCTGCGCCCATATTGCCGACAAGAGCACAGAGCTCTGTAGCAACAAGCACACATACGAGTGTGAGCAGACACACAGTGCATCAAATCTACATTAAAGCACATAATCATTCGAACATGTTTGCTATCCAGTAATTACTTTAACCAGATACTACAAGTTCTCTTTTAGTTTATTACATAATTTTATTGTTGTGATTTTGGGTCAGCTGTCTGATCTGTACATTAATACTGCAGTATTCTTTTTGTGCATACAGCTATTTCCTCCACAGGACCCGTCCTACCTCCTGAAACTTTTATGTGTAGCCCCGTATGTATGTATACATTACCAACGGTGAGTGAATAGACGAGCAAACCTTTGCTCCTTTTCATTTGTGTCTTTATGAATACAAAGATAAGGATCTCTGCAACTCTACGCCTCATCGGTAAGAATCAACTGCACACGCACAGCCAGCTCAGTCCACCCAGGACCAAACAAATGATGCTGCTTCTACTTGGACGGAACTAAAACTGAACTTGTTTAACACAATTAGTTGACTGCAGCCGACTGTCACTCAGGGCAACATATGGCCCTAAAATGCTCTTAATCAGACTAACTGTGGATAGTAATGAAGCACAGCAGGACCCAGTGAAGACCAGCCAATTAACTTGTTGTTCATCAATTTTATGAAGGACTGGATATTTTATATCCTGACACAAGAGTGCACTCCAGTGGGAATACAAAATACCACATCTTCAGAATGGGAAAAAAAGGAAGAATTGGTGTTAAATTAAAAATGTTCAATAAAATGAGATAACGGAAGGGAGAAGGTGACAAATAGACTCTCGTTACACTTATTTATGTGTTGATAAATATGTGACCTTTCAATGTGTAGCATGTGAAATAATGTTATGTGTAGATTTTAAAGAATGGAGCCCCCTCCATATATTGTTTTACCGTTTATCATTTTGTGGTACAGAGCTGGTAAGTGTAAGCATCGAATCATACTGTAAATGTAACTATGGACTGAATAAATGGCATGCACTGTTCCTCAAAAAGCAAACATACCAATAAAGAGCAGCTCAAATAAAAAATATGATACATACCACCGTTTTTGGAGACAATACAGGCCGTTAAGCATGAACAGATCTTATCTTGTGGGATGATGCAGAAAACGTGTGTGTATGGTAAGGAACACAAGCACATTGGAAACAATTCATCACAGCTGTCAGCAAACATCGCTTCAAACTGTTGCCACATTAACACTTAACCTTCTCCATTCTTCAAGCTATTTCCTTTGAGGAATGACTCAGAAGTGTATACTAATATATATACATGCATGTTAGGTTGTAGCTGGAAACAACTGATTTTACAATCCAGTTCGCCACATGGAAACACTTATTTGGTTTATAGCTAGGAGAGTCATTTCTTCAATTCAACTCTAGAGAAATAACGGATTAGTTTTGATTGTTTCAAGTCTGTCTTACTCAATGCTGAACAGATCTCATACGTATTTCATTCTTCATGTCTTCTAGCAAGGCATTGCTTTCACGCGTGACTATGTAAAATATGAAGATCAAAAAGAGCCTTTGTTCAGCTGCAGACATTTATGCCAAACATACGGTAACTTAAGGAATTTATAGCAAATGTAAGCTTGGAAATACTAGACTTGGATGTTTTTCAGGAAAGGCTCTCTCCTCTTAGATGGGGCTTTTTGACAAGCAACGAAATTTTAAGAACAACTTAAAATCGTTTGAGAGGGGAGTTCTGACAGCAAGATGACATTTGGAGTCAGTCGAGTAAAAGTGCAAATTACTACGTGTTGATATGTTCTTATATAAAATTGATGGGATATCATTGATCAGCTGGCAGCTGCGCGGACAATGTCTCAATAAAAAGTGATACTGGTACAGAACGTGACATATTTAGCTCAGGCTAAACACCTGACCTGAGAGCAATTAAGTGCTTTACCTCAAGCTGTCAGGCTAACATTGTGCATCTTCTCATATGCAGTAAACAACAAACCCACAGAAAAAACTTTTCTCAAAAAACTTGAGATCCAAGTTTAACCGGTCACATACTTCGTATTTACAGTTATGTTTAAAAAAAAAAAAAGAAGGAGGTAATTATAAGCCTTTACATATCAGGACAAACATTTTTTTTAAGTTAATGTAGCTTCAGATGAACAACACATGACAAATTACATGGTGTAATTATGTATTTAAGAAAACCTACACCAAAATGCAGACGCAGAAGTTCACTTTTACTGCTTCTACTGGAATTCGGAGGTTAACCAGCAACCAGGTGCTGATACTCAAAAGGATTTGATTAAGTGAGACCCTCTATAAAAGCAGACATGTTAACAGTTTGCTGCTTCTCGAGCATTCAGGTGTGTGTTAACACAATGCTGGTTATCAATCTGGAAAGGATTATATAGAAATCTCCCAAAAATGTAAAGTCCATAACTGTAGAATGAGAGAGGATATTTACAAGTGAAAAATCATTCAAAACAGCTGTCTTCAGTCTTCCCAGGCGTGGACGTCCCAGCAAATTCACCCCCTTGTCAGACCGTGCAATGCTCAGAGAAAATGCAAAAAACACAAGAACTACATTTCAGACTCTACACAGTTGGCATATTAAATGTTAAATTTCATAACAGTATCATTAGAAAAATATAGTTGTTTTTTTTTAAAAATTTTTTTAGAAGAGTTGCCAAGAGAAAGCTCATTTTCTCTAAAAGTAGAAGTTGGCATAGCTGCATCTGAGCAAACCACAACACTTCAGGAACAATTTCCTTCTGACACATGAAGCCAAGGTGAAGATGTTTGGCCATAATTACAATGCCACATTTGGTCAAAACCAAACATCCCTTCAGCACAAACACCTCGTACTAACTGTCAAGCACAGCGGTGAAGGGGTAGTGATTTGGACATGTTTGGCAGCCACAGGACCTGAACACCTTGCAGTCACCGAGTCAACCATGAAATCCTTTGTATATCAAAGTAGTCAAATGTGAGGTCACCTCTCTGACAGCAAACACTATTGAATCACAGTGTAATTAGTTTTTCAGAGATTGCTGTTGCATTTTGGCTTAGTTTTTGCAGAATAACTAATGACAGTGTAATATGTCATGGGTTGTTGTTCATCTGAATCTGTTATTATCTAAAAGAACAGATTTTGTTTATGATTTTCTAATATGTAATACCTTAGAATAGAAAGAGGTTGTGCTTTCATTTCACCACAACTGTATTTGTTGCATAATATTTGTTTTTTTTTTAGAGCTGCAGGTTAGAGAGGCTTGTTAAGCAGAGCAGATGTGACCATACCTGTGGCCATCTTTTACCTGACAGTTTGCAGCTTTAAACACACATTACTATCAGATGTATATTATCAGCTTGGCTCTGCAAAATAAATGAATACAAAACTAAATAAAGAAGAAGAAGGAATTTTAAATTGAGAAAGAAACTTTACATTGTGAGAAAGAAAAAGAATAACGTCGGGCTTCCACAGTTCAAAACACTAAAGTTGGTTAATATCAGAGAGAAAATTGATTCTGTTTTTTTCTTCTCCCTCTAGAGTCCCTCTATTCCTACATAAAAATCATGTGTCCCTTGGTAATTCTGGTCACTTGCTGCTCTTCTCCATCGCTGTGACCACTGACAGCTCAAACCACATGAAAACCATTCATCATGGCTCCTTTAACATTAGATTAATGTGGTGAAAACGGAACACATAAACTCTCTTTCTGTCACTCTAACACACACGCACACACAGACAAAAATACAGTACACACACTCAACTAGCCCTATATAAGCTATCAATCATAGATATTGTCATTATTCAAGTCTGTCATCGACAAGCCCCTTTCCTTCTCCCTCTCCCTCAGTCTGTCTTTCTCGCACACTCCCCTTTTCTTTCTCTCTGTTCTCCTATCTTGCAAACACACACACACACACACACACACACACAGAGGAGAAGAGAGAGAATCATGAATCATAAATCTTATGAATGCCATCTTAAGACTGCTCAGCGCTATGAGAAAGAGAGATGATTGATAGACGTGAGTGAGTGTGGCGAAAGGAAAGAAGACGGACAGAAGGTTGCAACCGGTAACACCGAGGTCAGAGACTGCAGTTCAGGGGTCAGATGTATCAGAGCAGGCGCAATATGGCTGAGAAGGAAGGAGAAAATGGGAGGATGAGGAAAAGGAAGGGAGGGAGTAAATGGTTGAAGGGGAAGAGAGGGAGAGAGAGAGAGAGAAGAGGGAGGGAGGGCGAGAGTATGGGGGATGCTGCCACAGTGAGGCTAAAGCCATAACTCATCTTTTATTAAAAATAATGAAAAAAACTTAATGAGTTAATAATATCTGGAGAAAGAGATAGGGAGTGAGAGAGAGATGGAGGAAGGGACAGGAGGACAGAGAAAAGGAAGGAAAAGAAGAAAGGAAATGAGGAGGGAGCTCAGATGGAAAAGAGAACGGGGTCAGTGCGAGTCTCTTTTCACTCTCTGGTCATTTATTCCACTTTTCAAAGTTCACTCAAGATTCATTAGACGAACAGGGACAATCACGGGGATCCCTCTCATTCTGCAGACCTAAATCCCAAAGCCTGCTTGGTAATTAAAGGCACTTAACAACCAATTAACAGTGATGAGCTAAATTAGCAGGATGTTGTCTCCTTTGACTAGGCTACTGCATTATCAGTGTATTGAAAGAGCGATGAACAAACCTCAGTGGCCCGCGTTTGCATGTAGGCAAATGACGGATTAATTACTATTAAAACATCAGCATCTTAATGAGCTTGGAAACAATTAGAGAGGTCGTTAGTGTGTGGAGAACGGCTGAGAACAGAAGAAGGGCGGGCGTGCACAAACAGGAGAGAAATCTTCATTGGGAAGCAATACTGATTAAATGGACGTACGGTCGCACTCATCGCCCAATATCCACGGACTTATTAAATACATGACATCACCATTTGTCTTTTCTACCATCAAGCTACTTTTCTCCTGCCATTATCTTTCCCGCTTCTTCTCAGGCTTCCCCAACTCTGCCTTCGTTTCATCTCTCATAAAAAGCCTTTTTCTTGCTCTTCCATTGCTTTCTCCACTTTCTGCTTTTTAACTCCCATTTCTTCCTTCCCTCCTTCATGCTTGGGGGGCACAGTCCTGTGAAGGAATTTAATATGCAACTTTTATATGAGAAACCAATCGCATACGTCTGGGTCTATTGGGCTCGCAATCTATCGGCCCGGACGGCTAATGCAATAGAGGGAGCCTGGGCTATTTATCACACAGGGAGCTATCTTTTCCTCTCTCTCTCCCACTCTGCCCTCGCTCTCTCTGTCTTTATTCAAGCCCAGATTCCTGGCTGCCACTAAATCAGGCCAACTATGAGCTATGGCTGCCCAGAGGGCATCTCCTCTTTTATAGGAGGATTTGGATTTTGTATCTACTGGTTCCTCAGTGGTCGTTGAGACTGTGCAAACGGAAGCT